CGTGCACTCTGCTAGCATAAGCTTAGACATTCTTACCATGTGTCCTTTTGCAGTGAATATCAAAGTAGGGCCTGCCTCTTTATGCCTGAATGACCCTCTGGAGGTCAAATGGTGCACCAGAAAATGTCTCTATCACAGACATTTTTTTTCCCGTGTTATTCTCCACATACCCTCCAATAAAATCACACAAGTTATGAATCATGCTATGTACGTAACACGCACACACACACATTACAAAAACAACAATTCTTGACAAAACTGCCCAGTAATCTGCATGAATACATAACTACACAGCCAAGTAATATTTTAACTGTCTTGTTGATATACTCTTACTTCGAGATTTATAGCATTATCTTTCATTAAATTGTATTCAATCACATACAATTCATGTCGAGTTGAAGGATGTAATATATATTTATAGTGAAAAGTATACATTTAAACTTTAAGATATTTTTTTTAAGTCTATAGTTGTATCAAACCTTACTTGTTCATATGGTCTAAGAGTGGCAAACTAACTAGGATCACAATCAGCAATAAACGATGAATAAAACATACTTTAAGTTTATAATAATGATTAAACGACACAAAAAAAGGTAAAATAATTATATAAATAGACATACATATACATTTCTAGCTATAACTGATACAAATGTTTTTCTTTTATTGAGAATAAAACATTAGAATGAAAAAACAAAGTTAAAAAAGGTGACTTTTTTTACAATTATTAACCATAAACATCACTGTTCTACAGTAATGACAAGCAAATGGCTCTCAAAATGTACTACTTCTTACAACTATGACCTCAACTATTTTTTTTCTTGTCCAATTAACCTATTTGCTATAAGAATGTATTAATATCACTATTTTTGGAGAATAACTGATACCTTGGAACTCTATGGCTTAAAGAAAGATGGATATTTATTTTAGAAATTATTCTTTCAGCTTCTGAACAACAAATACGGGTCTGCAGTCCAGAGCAACTCATTTCATTGGAACAACTTCAGGCCTAGCAACCAACAGTGGTCATATTACCTGTATCATCTTACATATAAAACTAGGTCTCAGATTGGGTGGGCCTAATTCAGAGCACAAAATATCTATAAAGGATATAATTTTATGTGATGTCACAAATTCTAAGTCGGTATTCCAAGTGTATTCAAGGTTATTCCAGAAATTACTCACCAATCTCATCGTAGAATTGTATGGAATAATCCAGAAAAACCTGTTTATTATCAATGTTTGTGAAATGTTCCTTAAATTTAGTATATGAACTTACATGGAATATTCTAGAAGTTTCTAAACAGTGCACAGTATGTAGAGAGAGATTCTTATTGCATTGTGTGCTGTGTGGAAATTTCTAAGGTAGGCCTACTGTGTATATAAAATCAGACGATTCAACAGTAGATCATCAATTAGACTACAGCGGTGTTTCTTGTGGCAAAATAAACCTGTATTACTAATGTTTAGTGAGGAACCTACTAAAGTGGATTATTAATTCAAAAATACAATAACAGAAACTTTTACAGTAGGCAGGTTCTGATTTCAATAGATAGTATCAAGTCATCATTAGATAAGAGTTACATTCAACTGCCTTTTTCGAATGTAAATCTTACCTGATGATGATTCGATAATATGGGTAGAAACATTGTAATTATTAAAGTTAGAAGTTGCCCTCTGTAAAAGTTGTACTTTTGAATTAAACATGTATTATATTTAGAAGTGGTGTTCCCTCTGACTGATTTAAAGAATCCCAGTGACTTGTGACATCTACATCAGCGAATGTTTTGTGTGTATGCTGCTACCCTGTTGGAAGGAATATGTTAAAGTGGCCTATCGCATTCATATTCAGAAAAGTTAGCTGCATATTCTTGGAAAAAAGTTATCCTTGCATTAAACTTAATTTTGTGAGAAAGTTTTGGTGTTTCAACTATAAATAAACCTATTTGAATAAGCTTGTTTTTCACAATTCCACTGAACTGACAAAAGAAGGGTTACAGCTCAATATTGTCTAAACATATCGGCTCATACTGATGCCTAAAAACAAAATGGCTGATGACGATATTTTGTCCAATCTCTACTATTTACATTTAAGTTTATTTTTATACCAAACACTTGACAATAATTGTTACTGAGGGCACAAAATACTTTCAGGAGAAACTATAATGCCAGTTTTAACCACCAAAACATCAAATTTTGTTTTGTACTCACTACAAGTGGAGTCCATGTACTAAGTAATGTTACATTTTTTACAACATTCACTATAAAAATAAAAAAACTGGGTGAAATCATTCCCTTGCTATTTAAAATAAAGAGAAGGCCCCCAGCAGTTAGTGGCAATACTGACGGTATTTTTATTTAGATTTTTGGGAGTAATCCATATTGTTACGTCTCCATTCGTTAGTTGATTTTCCGTAACTTCGTTCCCACGAAACTTTAGCGACACAAGTCGTTTCGTAATAAAACTGGTTTATTCTTTCTGAATACAACTTTACCGATACACTTATTTTCAACAGTCGCTCTGTAACAAACGTTTTAACAACAAATGTTAACTTCAACAATACTTCTGACTGCAGTTCAATTACTCACTACCTACACACATTCCCGTCACGTTGAGAGCATCTTATATATATACCAGACAAACATATATCTAGTAAATGCTAGGGCATTCACGAAGGAACAAGATATTTCTAGAAAATAGGTGGCGTGACACTAGTCACGTGACCTCGCTGATGCAACAATATGTTATTAGGGTATCGTAACCTTCAAAGCCAAGGACCTAAAGGCAATTAAAGGCATGAAAAATACAAAAAGTCTTTAAGAATCTAATAGAGCCTATTTTGACTTCACTGGTTCAAGAAGCACATGTACTAGATATTGTGTTCTCTAATATGTAAATTTAGAAAATACTAGAGATACAAAATAATAGTTAATTATGATACTGCCGTCTTCATACGAGCTGAAAACTAACTACAAACATTTTTCTTATTTCAAATGAACCATTACTTACAAAACATGAAAAAGCAACCGGTTGTTTGGTAACGTTACAATTATTTTAAACTTGGCAATTAGAAACCATCAATGAATTATTTAACTTTAAAATCACTTCTTCCTTGCACACAACTAACAAACGTAACTGTTACTTACTGATTAAAACATTCATTACCCAAGTGTTCAACAAACTAACCTTTCTAATGGCTCTGGTCCGATTCCAGATAAAGTCATACCACTCTCCAGGAGATGCAGTCTTGTCATTCAATCTATTAAAACCACTTCTTCCTTGCACACAACTAACAAACTTAACTGTTACTTATTGATTAAAACATTCATTACCCAAGTGTTCAACAAACTAACCTTTCTAATGGCCCTG